GGTTTGCGAAACTTTGAATGGGACCATACAACTACGTCGTTTGCGAATTGTTGAGCCAAATCTTGCTTAAGCTGGCTCAATCTTGCATATTCTCTTGATATCTCCTTGTACTTTTTGTATATTTCCTTGATCTTTTCTTCCAATATCATTCTTTTGATGTATTCTTCTCCGATAGCCCACGACTGTTCAATTTCGTCTTGCTCATTGTTAGCTTGTTCTAGAATATTTTCATTTTCTATTTCTTGTATAGGTTCGTTTTGAAGCTGGTCTTCGATAACCGCCAAGGGTAATCCTTGATCATCTTCTTCATCAGATAGAACGATAAGATTAGCGTTAAAGGCTTCTGTAACACGTCTTTTTACATCTCCCATTAGGAATTCTACCAGAACTTCTCTCGTTACTTCTTGTTCTCCAAGATGATATGTGTAGATCCCATCGTATTCTTCACGAAAGTCCAAGAAGTCATTAAATGCATAGCAAGCAGCATCATAACCTTGTTCTTTGTATAGATCTACCAAGAAATCTCTCAGGGAAGCTTCATAAGGTGGAATAGCATCAGAAGTACTAGAGCGTATTTGTTCTTGAATATTTGAGTTCATGTTTGTAATTATTTGTTTCTCTTTTTTTTTTGAATTTCGTTCCTTTTTATATGTTTTCGTGTTGTATCTTTAACAATATTATCATTGAAGTAATTCCTGCGTTTCAGAATCCAAAATTGTTGGGATAGTTCTCTCGTGTTCTTCAGTCCAGTTTATTTTTGGAATCATATAAGGTTTCAAGCGATTACCATGGATTCTTCTTAATTTAGTATCTTGCGTGTCGTAATTTTTTATATGGTACGTTCCTTTGCCTAGAACTTGATGTATGATGAATGGACCTTCCCATCGGTCTCGTAATTTTGCCGACCATGATGTTGATAAGTAATCTTTGTAAAGTAATACCACATCTCCAAGTTTGAATGATGGCTTTAGTTCCTTTCGCTCATCGAGAAGTTTCTTTTCTATCATCTTCTTTTGAGTAGCTTGTATTTGGTTGATTGATTTATGAGCTTGTTCTCTTGACTTATTCAGGTTATGTATTTGATTGGCAGTTCTGTGCCTTAATATTGCCTCAAACTTTGGCGAATTTTTCTCATACACGTAATGATCCAAGTCAAATGGTGTTTTAGGTTCATATCCATATAATAAAAAGAAGGGTGAATGTTTCGTTGTAGCCTGTTTGATTGATCGATAAGCGAATAAAGCTGCTGGAAGGTACATGTCCCAATCTTCTTTTTCTTCATCTGAACGTCTTTGTAATATTTGTCCTAAGGTTCGATTAAATCTTTCCACCAACCCATTACTCTGTGGGTTGTAAGGTGTTGTG